TTTGTGTATTAATATATGTATGGAATATGCAATGTGCACAATTCAGTTAAAGATGATTCTTTCCTGTCTGTTAGAGCAGGTAAGGCATCTGTCTTTCTTGATAGGTTAGTTTGGACTGTATAATAAATTGTAATATAAATTTCTATCATGCTGTTTGAAAGGATGGCATGATAAGTCCAGAGAATTTTGTATCAAGATTTATTGGCTATCTATAGCTAAAGTTTCACTGGAGACATTTTTATTGTCTCAGGCAGTTTCAGAGCTATTCTCACATAGAGGGATCAGCAATATAAGTTACCTGTTTGTTGGTCTTTATGATTTATTTATGTTTGCAGTCAAGATCTTCAAGGGGTCTTCCCTGTTAAATCTAATTTTTATCAATTTGGAAGGAATCACTCACAGATTTTCTTCTCCTGTTGAAACAAACAAAGGCAAAAATCTCACTCCCAAAATAACACATTTCCTTCTTTCAGTTCTGAGGTTAGGATATCCTTAACATAAACAGGCTGATATAGTTCAACAGTTTTTTTTTTTCATAACCCAGCGTCTCTCACAGCTTTGTTATCTGTCTCATTGATATTTGAAAACTTTAAAGTCAATAAACTATTATTTAATCTATCTCTGGGAGATCTCAAATTCCCCTTCTGTTCTATGAGCATTTCCTTTTATAATTGCTTGACCTGTAGATTGTAAGAATTACCTATAACAAGTTTTATTCCATAATGTCTCACAGTTGTTATATTCTAATGGATACATACGTTGAAGTATCAGAAACTTCAATCTGCAAAGGCATTTTCTAGGTAACCACTGTCTCTAATATTCAATCTCTGAATCAGCTTTTTCAGAATTTAAAGCAAAAGCCCATTGGAATTCTGAGGATGTATCAATGGTATGGTGTGTTAACTTGTGTACATATCCTAAACTCTACAAAGTGAGACATATAATTTGCTGTTTTGTGTTTTTTTAACTTTTCATTCTTTTTTAATTAAATTCTTTTTCATGCAATATATTTTCTTCTCTTATCCCTTCCCTAATCTCCTCCAAGATCCTCTCTACCTCCCAGACTACTCAACTCCATGATCTTTCTCTCTCAAAAATAAAAGCAATAAAAAATAACTTTGACAAAAATTCCAAGACAAAACAAGATGAAACAATACACACGCATATGTACACACACTGACACACACGTGCACACGTGCACATGGGTACACACGCACACATGCATATGCTTTGCACACATATACAATATGGAATTCATTTTGTGTTGCCCAACTACTACTGGACTGGGACCTGCCCTGGAGTATTGTTGATATACCTGCTCACATTCTGGTTAGCCTCATAACATTTATTCTGCTGGTGCACTAATATAGCTTACAGGCAGGTCTCTGTTTTAGGTCTCATGTGTTGCTAGGTAATATTGATATTTACCTTTCTACTCTGCATGCTACAATATGCAGAATAACTTTTAGCACCACAAATATTTATCAGTAGGGGTGAAGGTACCAGCTCCAGTTCTCCATGTTCAATGACATAAGTAAATGTTGTCTTATGTAATAGAGCCTTATCATCATGTGGTGGAGAGCAGCCAATAGCCTTGGAAATAGCCTGTAGTACTAAGAGGATCCATGGGACCCCTTTGGCCAATGACTCAAAAGATGTGACATATTCCTGCCACTGGAGGTTTTACTTGGTAGGATAAGTTGTCTAGTTTGGTATTTTATTCCTCATTATATGGGATGTTTTGTGTTTTAATTTTTATCAGCTAGCCACCAAAGTGGTAATTATTTTTGACAGAGTCATAAGGTTTCTTAGTTCACATGTGTGAGAGGAGTATTTTCTAGGAAGGAGTACCATCATTCCTTTGCAACATGGTCATTTCATATGAGACATGTCATATCAGTAAAAATAGCTACTGTGATGATACACACACAGGTAGAAATTTAAATGAGCATGTATCTGAAATATCTTGGAGAATTTTATGTATTTCACAAGACAGTACAGAAGATGATGATTTTATATGAAAAATTGCAGTACCAGGGAATTATGTCAAGTTCTTTTCCTCAGTATAATTCCCAGAAATCAGTCCATATCCTTGAGAAGTGTTGTATTATTAGAGTAATAAACAGCAAAAAGATGAACAATTAATTCTATTATAAACAACTAAACAATAAATAATCATTCCTCTAAGAAGGGGTAAAGAAAGTTTGCATTCCTGCTTGTGGCAGGAGCCAAGCCAAATTCTTCCCTGCCAGTTTCTTAATGACACAAGGGAAATGCAAAAGCCACAGTGGAAGGAGGAAACACCATGAGGAGTTTTTAGTATAAACTTTTCACCTCATGGAAAAACTAGAGCAAAACGTGCTAGTTAAACCCACAATATAGCTTCCCTGATTCATGTTGTTTCTCCAGTTATCTCTTGGTTCATGGCTTTCATTCCTGTCTCAAATATGTACTAATTAAAGAAGACATGGAATGGTTTATTTTTAATGTACCATAATGAAGCAGAAAATAGCTGTTTTCTTTAGACTAGAGACTTGTCTACTTTATAGAAGGCACATTTAGTTATGATTTTTGCCATTAGATCTTACACCATTATTTCAACATTAAGCTCACACTATCTAAAGTGATACTGTCATCCCAGAATCGACGTAAAACCTTCTACACATTTATCACTACAAAAAGACTAATTCTTTTTATTTTTGATCTTTGTATTATTTATGATTGAGAGCACGTGATTCAATATTTTATGATTAATTTATTGCTCTCCTTGTTTTGTTTCCCAAATATGCTAAGTACAGTTTTGAGTTTTTTTGTTTTGAAGTTTATCTTTAGAAATATCCTTTTGTCTCTTCCACAGTTAGGCATATCATAAGTCATCTTCTGAAACCAGTTCACCTCTACTCTGTAAACTCTTGATTCATCCATAGCCTGGCCTCTGCCTCCCTTCTTGTGGCCTTTTAGAGCTTACTTAGGACTTGGCATAGCCATATGTTTCTAGTTATTTTGTATCTATTTCTTATCTTTCCAACTAAATCCTGAGAAAATTATTGGAGGCAGAGGCTATTTGCTATATATTTTTGTATTCTTGGCACTTTGCCTAATGCACACAAATTTTAGATCACTTATAATTTATTTGTATTGTTGTATGGGTCTGGCTGAATATGCCTAGATTAGGATTCCAAATTTGTCATCTTTTGGTTATTATCTGTCATTTAAAATATTTATTTCTTTTGCTCATTTTTCCTCTTGCCTTTATTTTTGTGTAGTAACTTCCTAAACAGTGTCCTTCAGAGGAAGGGGTGCTGCTCTTTCAGGGGTCCCCAAGTCCAGAGTTGATGTTCTCTGGCTTAGTTGGTTAGTTCTGTGCTATGTGTACATGCTAGGCTAATCACAGTGCTCAGAGGTTGTTGATTCATGCTGGCTGAGTAGTGGAATGGATGTCTCTCTCTCCCCGTGTATGTATGTATGTATGTATGTATGTATGTATGTATGTATGTATGTTTGTATGTATGAAGGTTGGAGATAGAAGAACTACTTGTTCAAAAAAACCAACCAACCAACCAACCAACCAACCAACCAACCAACCATAATTAGATGAGCTCTTGTGCCCTCAGTGTGGGAAATGAGCACCTGAAAGGCAAACTGAAGATGTTCACCAGGGAGTTCGGAAATACCTGCTGATTGATTAACAGCTTTGTGGGAAAACATTAGCCTTCTACATCCAAAATAATGTATGGTCAGGATATCGCTACCTAGTCACTATTTGGGTGGGGATGAGAGTACTATGACCTTTGACTTCCATTCTCACTCATACATGGCCAGCATCAGAAGGCTGTTTGTCTTGAGAGTGGATGGTAATCTTTCAAACATCTAAATAGGATTTCATTTTTGGTAGAAAAGTGAGCAGAACAGTATTTAGATATCTCATGAGGTTTGTGATGATGTTGGCCAGAGTGGTTTTTTTTGTTTTTTTTTTTTTTTTTGGTAAAAGTAAGAGGTATCATTGACCAATTAAATCTCAAGTCATATGTCTCTGCTTTGGATTTCTTCAATGAGTGCTATGTTGACTTTAGGGTTTTTCTCTTCCCATTTTTTGACATGAAGGGTATCAAAGGAGGCCTTGTAAATGTTGAGGCTGTAATTGTTAAAGATATGTACATTAAATTGGCTGGCAGAATTTTGAATATCTATTTTGTGCACTGAGAATTATGATGAGATATCTGAAGTATAAAACCTTAAGTCATATTGATTAGCTTGATTGAGACCCAGCCAGTGATGATCTTAATGAACATTATAGAAAATGAACAGTATTAGGAATTTCCATATAGGAAGTGTATAGAACACAGGCAAAGTCAAGAAGCTATTCAGCAGGCACTTGCTGGTTGATAATTGAAACCTTTTTCAAATAGGAATCAAGTTCCTGTAGCATGTATGATTTGCATGGACATCCTTAGTATCATACAGTCAAACCATGTACTAGTGTTCGGATAAAAGCACATATAAATTTTTATCATTTAAGTTTAGTTTAGTGTTAAATATGCCTTTGTCATCTGGTTAAGCTTGTTTGTTTGTATGTGGTAAAAGAACAAATTAGCTATAAATGGAATCATGTGTTCCTTACAAATCAATGTTCTGAAACTTCTGAGAAAGTGACTATTTTATTAAAAAAATACAAGAAAACCAGGCTTAGTGATGGTTGCCTGTGATCCTAAAATTTAGAAGGTAGATGCAGTAGATCAAGAGTTCAAGAGCAGTCAGAGGCAGGAGGATTTCTGAGTTCGAGGCCAGCCTGGTCTACAGAGTGAGTTCCAGGACAGCCAGGGCTATACAGAGAAACCCTGTCTCGAAAAACCAAAAAAAAAAAAAAAAAAAAAAAGAAAGAAAGAAAAAAAAAGAGTTCAAGAGCATCCTCAGCTTTCTCAAACACAAAACAAAATGATCCCACTTCTAACCCTACTCCTTGGGACAAACTTAATTTGACCTTTAATCTTTCTTTTTAGAGCTGGAAGATAAGCAGAAACCTAAAGCTGATTCCTCTCCAGACATTAGTCTGTTCCTACCAATGCTTTGACCAGCGTGATCCTGATGATGTCTTTGGGATTGCTCAAGAGTAGAGCAGGTGAGATAGTCCTTCAGCACCTCATTGGGCCAGTTGTCTCCTCTGCCTCAGGTCAGCACATGCCCCACTTATGACGCTGTTCTCTGTCTAGTCGCTTTCAATGTATTAAGCAAAGGAAGGTGAGTCACTCAATTATAAAATGTATACTATAAGTACTGCAGTCTGCATCTAGATGGCTCTGTTTTTAGATGCTTGTTTTCCTCCTATTGGCTTAAAAACACATGGAAAAATGTGAAAACATTAATCTGGATGACACATGAATGTGATCTTTTCCATCCCTTTTATGAGTTCCATTCCCTTTTTAAAAATTCGAAGATGAGTTTAATGGAGAAAGATGTTTCATTGATGAGCATTTCACAGTTGAAAGACGGATACTCATTTGAGCTAGGTAGCTATATTGTATTTGCAGGATTTCACTTGAGCCACTAACATCTGTTGATATTATATAGAATTTTCATTCAGCTTAAAAATAAGTAGAAGGCTGGAAAGTCAAGGACAGTAACTCCCAATACTATCATTTTTTACAGAGTTCTGATAAATATATTTGAAAAAAAAATCTTTGATCAAGAAGAACTGTTCAATGTGAGGAAAATTACTGAAATGAAAGTGTGAATGATTTCCTTTGAGGGAATAGAGAAAACTAGGAAAAGAATTTATGAGAATATATGTTACATTTTCCCTAAATCAATGGTTCTTAAAGTCTGATTTTCATTCAGTGCCACCCAGAAAATGGTCTGGCCCTACCCTAGGACCAGTGACGCAGAAACTGTGAGCATTGGAGGGCAGATTCTGTGGCCGTAGCCTCCTGGGTGATTTGTCTGTGTGTTCGAGTTTGAGAACCACAAAGGAGTCTAGCTTGTAAGAAAGTTAATCATAATTTTACATTTAAACTCAGCTAAAAATGCATTACTTCATGTGACTATTTGATGGTCCTCTTGCTAGAGGGCCAAGTGGAGCCTCTTCTTCTATTCTTGTCCCACTGCTACTGTCCTTGGAAGGACTTATAGATTCAATCCAGGGCACTTTACGCATCAAAGTTACCTCTGGCATAACTGCCAAGTGAGATCTATTGAGCGCAGCAAAGGCTTTGAGTTCCAAAGAATAAATTCCAGGTTCCACTCAAATAGTTACTTCAAGGTAACTTTTAAAAGGCTCCATTAAACAAGAATGTACCTTAAACAAAAATAAACAGCTGAGACCAACACAGAGCTCACTAAACATGAGTCAGTAAAACACACTATGTGTGCCTATTGAGAGAAAAATTACCTCAGTAAATTGTATTTGATTAGGGAAGTACTTTTTTCTTAATCTAGTTTATATAGTATAAACATGGTTTGTTTATCATTTGAGTCCTATGACTTCAACCATAATCCATTCCTCATCTTTTTCCTGAATAGAAAATTCCATCCACCCATCCATCTTTGAACTTATTTATTCTGTAGGCAGTTGAGGCATTTTCTTAAAGTTCATGTGACATACAGGTGGACTCAGGCTCCCTCTCTCTATCCTTGCTGCCATGTTTAATTCATAGGTGAAGGTCACTGAAGTCTGGCTTCTCTTCACTATTTCACAGATTTTTATCTATTGATAAAGCTTCCTAAAAGCCATAAAATAATATTGCAAATATTCTTGGTATGTCTTCTTAAAATGCCTCTTTGTATGGCCCTTGTCTAGCTTATTTTTTCTGTGAGAAAAATAAATGGGCAGAAGTTGCTTGGTCTTGCTAAATAACTGTTTCTTGGTTCTGAGAAAGTCCCAGGGCAGCTTACTCCTCAAACCCACCAAGGGAACATTAGGAGCCTTCTCAGGCTACAAGGCTCTCAGTTGTAGAAGGTTCAAGTTCAAAAAATACCCTTGAGCCTCCCATGGCAATCCTGTCACTAAGGGATCAGCAAAGGCCACTGAGGGATAAGAACACATTGGCAGGCAACACTGAGTTGTAAGAGGAGAGAGAGGGCTCCTGAGTATCCCTACAGACTCAGGTGAAGACTGTGAATAAGACAAGTTATGTGTTGCTAGCCAGAGTAACAATGAGCTTGTTTCACAAGGGCTTCTTAAGGGACTGTCCCTTTATTCCTGTGAGTTGGTAAATGTTTGCATAGAGGAAGAAACAAGACAGGAATTGGGAATACTGAGACTGAGTTGTCGGCATCTGCCTAGGAAAGTTAGACAGACTGTTCTTCTGATCATTGTAATTATAATAAAAGCCTATGATTTCTTTCTGAACCAAGGAAATTAGCAGTTGCTTGTGACTTGTTCTATTAATGTATATTAAAGAAAAAATTGATTTATAGTACTTTAAAATTGTTCAATTAGAATGCATCTGTCAAGTAATACTGGCCTAAGGAAGAAGATACTTTACAAAGATATCCTCTTCTGAAGTGTTTTTATTTCGTGACAACAATTATACCTCCAAGAAATATAATTGTTACCTCCCATAGGGAAGACATTATCCTAACTTGAATGTGGATGGGGTCTCAGAGAACTTCTGCCTGTTTGGGGGGTGCTTTGCACTAAATCAGAATAGCTTTTCTCTGCTCAAAACTAAGAATCTCAATCTTGTCTCTCTTGGCTAGCGTTTATCATTGTACATGTTTTGAGATACATTATACTTTACTGAGAGGAGCTAATAGAAGCCATGCAGGAGGAGCTGCAGTGGGTAAGTGAGCTTCCTGGAGATGGCCCACCATTTTGCATCACTTTGATGGATGAATCCTGGACAGGCATGGCCCCAGGCCCCAGGCCCTTCATCTTCATATTGCTTCTTGCTGCTAATGTGTTTTCTCATTGCTGTATTCCTAATTTTTCTGATATGGTGTAATTGGCAAAGAAAGATCCTTTCTATCTATTGTCTGTTATGATTGCTTTCCTGAATATTAGCCCTCTCTTGGGCAAATTTCCTTCAGATCAACATGAAGATGAACTTTGATGAATAAGGCTGTATAGATGAATCAGTGATTTGATAGAATTCCTGATTTGATTCAAATAATTTTATGAAGTTAAGACAATTGATAGAAAGTTTACAGTTAGAATCAAAAGTAGAATGTGCCTCCTCCTTGTAGAATAGTAAAGGCTGAATAGGTTAGAAAAGGAGTTTAATGAGCTTTTATATGTTCCAAGCACATAAATTGCTTAAAGAAGAATAGGCTTGGAACAAATTTATGAATAAAGAAAACATTCATTCTAGGTTGCAGCGAGGAGGCCACAGGTTCAGTGTTACATAAAAAACTATTACTTTGAACTTATAATGAGCTTTTGGAATGAAAGGCAGATAAAACTACTGCTTTGGGGCTGGAGAGATGGCTCAGTGGTTAAGAGCACTGACTGCTCTTCCAAAGGTCCTGAGTTCAATTCCCAGCAACCACATGGTGTCTCACAACCATTTCTAATGGGATCTGATGCCACCTTCTGGTGTGTCTGAAGACAGTACAATGTACTCATATACATAAAATAAATAAATCTTTTTTTTTCAATTTATGAAAGCTTTAATTTATTCCCTCACCAAAGACAATCAAAGGGGGTGAAAGGTCAAGATTTTACTGTCTTCATAACAAAATCGGTTTAGAACTGGATCACTTGGCCCTTTCTCTTCTTGTCGCCTCCCAGTTCAAAATGCTTGCACTTCTTACTAGCCAGCATCCTCTGAGATCTGCAGTTGAGCTCGATGCACTCCAGTTGCAGCACGATCTTCTTTGTAGTTTTAGCCTTTTTGCAGAAAATAGGCTTAGTCTGACCATCATAGCCACTCTGTTTCCTGTCATAATGGCGCTTTCCCTGGGCATACAAAGAATCCTTGCCCTTCTTGTACTGGGTCACCTTGTGGGGCTGGTGCTTCCCACATTTCTTGCAGAATGTCCAGCGAGTCTTAGGAACGTTCACCATGTTGGCAGGAGCGCTATCAGCTCAGAAAGAGAAATAAATAAATCTTAAAAAAATACTACTTTGAACTTATAATCACCAATTCTATTCTAACTCCCATTGTGTAACATTTTTATTTGTTTTTGAATGAGATAATTCTTCCTCCTATAAAGACAACCTTGTCTTAGGGGCTATAAATGTGCTAAAGGAAAAAATATATTAGAGCTTGCTTGCTAGAGCTTTGCTCTATCCACCAAGTGTATGTATATGCATATGTATATATATGTTGATGCATATGTGTATGTGTGTAAACTTGTTGGAGGCAGCTCATTGGAGTTTACTTCATGTATTTCATCCACAGAATGTGTGTGTGTGTGTGTGTGTGTAAAATGTTTGGAGCCTGATTTGCGCCATCCAACCAATGTGTGAGTGTATGTGTGTGTCTGTCTGTATATATGGCTTTCTGTATGTATATATGTATGTATGAAAGTATGTTTGTATGTGTATATGTGAAATTATTGGGAGCTTGCTTGTTCCAGCCTACTTTACTTCATCCACTCAGTTTGTGTGTGTGAGTGCATGATTTTCTTTCTCTGTTTTGCTTTCTTGCTGGGTTCCAAAGAGTTTAAAGAGTTCATAGTTTCTTGCTGGTCATGGAGAGTACTGGTCCCAGATAATTAAGTTTTGCTCCTGTCAACACCACCAGTGTTTGATTCTTAGAGTACCTGCTGCTTTCAGTGGGAGTCTCTGTCGGTCAGTTCCTCTCAGCACCAGCCCCGATCTCTACATGCAGCTCTCCTCAGTTTACCCTGTGGTGTTGGAGCTAGCTTTGACACCTGACGGTTGATGTCAGCTCTCTGTTTCCTCACATTCTTCAGAAAGCTCTTCTAGCCATCATATTTTAAATTGCAGGTCCTACCAGCAAACATTAAAGTTTCTTCTTTTTGTTTCTCTGTTTCTCCTCACCTTCTACAGCACTCTATAACTAAATTGTCATCCCCAGAGGCATAACTTAACTGAAACTATATATGTATACACATATACTTATATGTAATATATAATTTAGGAAAATTTAAAATAATATAATTTCTTATGGCTTTTTCAAACATCCTTAATGTTAGTGAATCTAAGATTTCATACAA